AAAAAAGGGTCAAAGCAATTTTTATCTTGTTACGTTCATAAGTATTGTCCATGACTCACTTATATCTATTTATAAACAAATTAAAATCATTTATAAACACTTCCCAAATAAGCTCGTTTACTTGTTTGTAAATAAGTTGCAAAATAACTGACCTTTTTTCCTTATCAAAACTTAGAATGAGCAACTTATTTCTACATTAGGGTAAAAGTGAATTATTCAAAACATGTTTAGAAAGAAAATACTTAAAATTAACTTCTACTTAGTTTCAAGCGTTGCCAACTTAATATCCTTCTTTTTCCAAGTGTTACCTTGAAGTCTGCTGCTTTGTTGAAAAAGGATGCAGTTAGGTATGTTTTTTTGCATCTTCCGCACTCCAGCGAATCAAGTCAATATGCTCCTCCTTAGTTAGATCACTTTCAATTTCTACATTTTTCTTTTATGCAGATATGTTTTCACGGGCAGTCGATATTTGATATAATTGCAGAAGTCATAATTATGATGTTCAGCTTAAGGATTAATAAAAGAATTAGTTCCTAAGTTCGACTTTAGAACTTTCATAGCATTGATTTATAGCCACGATTCCGTAGTGATTAGGAGTTGATGTTCCATATATTTTATTATGTGTTTGCCAAGTAGTCATGGTAATTAGTCAGGAATCATAAATATCTTTGAGTTAATAAAGAAAATTAAAGGAATAAAACAGGCTTGATTGAGTTTAAAACATTTACTTACGAGTAAATCAGAAAGATTTTTATCATTTTAAGAGCAAAGGTAAGAATTAATTATTTCTGAATGAATAGCCTTCAATATATATATATATATCCAAAATTAAATAAACTTTTTTACTTAAAATTAAGAAAAAAATAACTTTTCCAATAAGCCCTTGTTTGAGCCCCATTTTGGGAAAAAATGCATTTTTGAATAGTGTATTGATGAGAAATGTATGGTTAAAAAATAAGAAAGATTTTTCTCATTTTGGTATAAAAAGTTATTTATAAGTACTTAGCCAAACGTACTCTGAAGGAAGCTTCTTATTGGTTCTTTTCTCAAGTTATTTGAACAGACGTGTGTTTAATAATTATCTTAATTAGTCAGGAATTATAAATATCTTTGAGTTAAAAAGTAAAGCTAAGGTGTAAACGGAATAAAACTCAAAACGGGCTTGGTCGAGCTGAAAAAGTTTACTTATAACTAAATAAGTGTTGGTTTGGAAGAAATAAGTGAAATAGTGGGTACCGCAAAACTTGTGGATAATTAGTGAGTAAATATTGTGAATGTTTGATTGATAAACTCAAGTGCTTAGACAAACCTACACACTAGGAAGCTTCCTAGACAATAATCAGATTAAAATTTATTAGAGCTTTTTCATGGTTCTTGAACCTAACTTATAAAACTTAAATGGCTAAAGAATAATAATTAATTATGCCAAATTCTTGAATCCAATCCCTCGAGAACAAAATTAAGATTATGCCCCGTAAAAAAGTTCCCTCTCTCTTGTACAATAAGATTTTAAAAGGCTAATTAGGAACTCTAAGCGCATCTTCAACAAACTCTTTATATTTAAAAAGGATATTCTATCATTTAGAGAGTATCTATGAATTTAAAAAGTAAAATTTTTGAAGCATTCCAACAAGCTCTTTATATTTAACTTATAATTTTACTACTTCCAAAAAATATTTATTATTTTTCTCTATATTTTATTTTAATTTGTTATTTTTCCTAAATAATTATATTATTTTCCTACATTGAAAATTGAAAATACTTTAAATGTATTTAATTATAGAGAAATGTCCGAACTCACTCTTTAAATTAAAATGTCAATTTAAAGAGGTTCTTGGAGCATAATATTAAGGGTTAACTCTTCAAAATCAATAGCACCTTATGCTTAAAGAGTCTTGGAAATGCTCTAACATCCCAAAAAAAGCTTTACCCGTCTAGATGTTATACATCGGAAATCTACATAAAGACCATCATTTGGCAATATTGTCATCACAAACAACACAAAAGACCAGCTGTTTCACATCTTTGAGAGCAATTAAATTTTGACATGGCACATCAAGAAAATCTTGTAAAGATTGGCGCAGAATTTGAAATCGCGAAGGAGTTCTTGCCCCAAAAAAGGGGTCTGAATAATCGCCAAGAACGCCAACAGAATGAAAAGGGGAGAAATCAGGTTGGTCCGAGCAAGCAAGGTGCTATCGACTGCAATCAGGCTGCCAAAAAATATGGAGGAGTAGTAATTATAGAAGGTCGTAAGAAAGTAATTTTTAGGTACTAAGACTTATTAGAGATACTCTTTCTTATCCTCTTGAAAATCATAGTAAACCTACTACTCATGAAGCTAGATAACATATGCTGTGCTTTTAGTCTTTGAGTCTAATGTAATAACCTTGTAACATATGCAGTGATTTAGTAACCTTGCAAATTTCGTGTGATTTACGTATTTATACCTTGGATCTTTTCCTCAAAAATCCTCGACTCAAGGCTTTGATCTCCTGATTGGTTCTCACTAACTGTTCTAATAGCCATTCACTTCATATCAGCAATAGCAGACAGCATTCATTCATTCACCAAAAAAATGGAAGGAAGATATTAAAGTCAGTACTGTTGAAACTAGTTAAATGATACATCAAAAAATCCTTTTGAGAACTAGTGCCAATCAATTAAAGTTCTCGAGTTAAATGAGACGGCCATTATTTTCTAACATAGGGGAACATGAATCAAAGCAGTTTACATACATTGGCAAGAGATATAGCAAATGGAAATATGTCAGCTTAAGGCAAGAGGGAAAAAAAAAAGAGTTTCTAATTTCAGTTTTAGAACATTCCTAGCATTAATTAATAACCATGATTTTGCTGTGAATAGGAATTTCACTATATTAAAAGTGTTACTGTTCCATGATAAGTGATTTATACTCATTATATTATGCCATTAATTTCATGATTTTGCTATTTTGGAGAGTATTTTAGAAGTGCTAACAAGTGATTTTGGTGTTGTTTTGTAGATTGATGGAAATGGAGAAAACTAGAGCTAAAAGAGGTCAAATGAAGGAAATAGTCAAAAGCTAGCGAAATTGGATGAAATGACCAAAACGTAAGAGATCCAAAGTTCGAGGATTAAAATGCAATTAATCAAAAGTCATGTCGAAACTTGAAATGAAGATCTGAGAGTTCTAGAAGCCAATTGGACAAAGGAAGGTGTCAAAGGGATCAAATTTAGTCAAGATATGATCATAAATCATTTTCCAACCAAAAAGTTTTGCGCCGGAGTTTTCGTCTCACATTTAGACTCATTTTTGACATAGAAAACGATCGAATTGGAGAATGATTCCTGAAGCAAAATTGTAGTCCTTTGAATTATCTTTCCAACGCATCTTGAATCACTTCAATCGGATATCGAACGAAAAAGTTATGATAAAAATACTGAAAACTGTCTAGTGCAACCGAAGTAGCCCTCAGCGCCCAGGCGCTATCCCTCAGCGCCTAGGCGCCATGATGCTGAAATTTTGACAGAAAGTCAGCGCCTAGGCGCTGCCGTGCGAGAGTAATTTTTTTAGGTTTTTACCATTCTTTTTCGGCCTAACTCATCTCCAAATCTTTCCCTAAACTCCAAGACAATATAAACACAAGATGGAAGACCTAAATGAGGGGGGAGCAGCACACTAAAAATCTAGGGGATCAAGCCACGCGTTCTTGACATATTGGAGAGAAAAATAACAAGAAGGGAGATTCAAGGGAGAAATTTAAGAAGATTAACACCAAGAATTGAAGATTGGAAGCACTCATTGGAAGAGGAAGGAGATCTTGGTGCAAGAATTCCACTTTTTCTTCCATATCTTTATTTCAAACTCGGTGATGTATTCTAAGACAATCTCCTATTTTTCTTCCATTATTATGAGTAGTTAAATTTCATGTTAGGGCGAACAATGTAATCTTTTGGAACCCTTTATTTCATGCAATTGAGATTCTAGCACTTTTTTTTATTTCGTGTGTTGATTTTAATATTGTTCTTAATACATTTAATTACTCGATCACTAATTGGATGATTTGTGAACAATGATTGCGTAGAGATGCGGATTATTTGTTTAGACCACATGTTAAAATCCGGTAAATTGATATAATGTGTAGAGATACCTATATTGATTGCTGCGGTCGGGTGTGAATTCTTAGAACCAATGTTTCGTTTAATTAAATTTAATTTGCATAGAGATATGGAATTAAACTAATTAAGTAGGCTCAATGAGAACTCGAGAGGGGTAAGTTGAATACAATAGAAGAATTCGACCGAACACTACCTTAGGTTTTATGAATCTTGATTTATGAAGTAAAGGCGACCAATAGGTGAAATTGTTCCGCCCTAACGTCCATTTATTGTTTGAATTCTCAATCACTTTTCATTGAATCCAATCACATTTTTAAGTCTTTAGAATAAAAATCACAGTTAATCATTGTTTTTGATTTACATTCGTCAAATAGTAGTTAAAGAAAGATTAAATTAAGTGCTACAAAATAGTCCTCGTGGGATCGATAACCGGACTCTTAGGTCCACTATTACTTATTACGGATCGTACACTTGCGAAACAAAAATCATACAACATTCCACATGTTTGATGTGATCACAAACATCTTTAAGTTAATAAAGCTATAAACAAAATGTTGATGAGCTTAAAGAATTAATTGTAAGTAAACAAGTTAGTTTACATAATTTATTTATTTCGATGAATTACTTGGAAGTTATTTTACTGTTAATTAGACCATGGATGAATCATTTCACCCTTAAATCACAACAGTTTAATGTCCCTTTCCATCCTTTTGAAATAATTTCAACAGTGATATCTGTTTAGGAATGATTTTTCTTCCAATTTTGATTACATATAATCAGTGAAATGTCTCTTTACATTAATGTATCATCATGCATGGGCTTTTCTCAAATTTCAGACAAAATTGGGAATGACATTAAATTCACTAAATGAATACGCATGTCATTGGAGCAAATTGTCGAAAAGGAAAAAGATTATGTTTCCTAGCAATTTTCTATAAATGGAATGCATAAAATGAAATTGAGTGAATAAGAAAGACAGAGAGTGAGTAGCATTGTGCAGTGATTTAAATGAGAGAAAATTGAGAGATTATCTTTGCATAGACAAATGAAAATACAAAGTGTATTTTTTTGTAATCCTCTTCTCTTGTTGATATAGTGTGTGAGTTTGTAGACGTAGACACGATTGTCAAACCACGTAAATTCTTGTATCGTACTTATACTTATTTTTTGCTATCTTCATTTATTTTTATTTTAAATTATTTTGCGTCCCACTCATCTTTTCACAATTAGTATCGTCTAATTCCTAACATAGAATTCTCTAGTTTATCCTTTGTGTTGTTCCCACTTATTCAACACCGAAAGTAGGAAATTTTGTTCATCAAGATGAAATGGAATCTTTCATCCTTCATTTTCTAATGGTCCAAAAATTCTACAAGC